CCCCAAAACCCCAAAACCCCAAAACCCCGCAGGACTTTGATAACCAAGAAATAGGTTTAAATTTACATATTAATAAATAATTATCTACCACTAAATAAAATGGCAAAAAAGAAGAAGGTAAGACTATGATTTATTTATTTGATTAGGCGCAAATGCTCTTTAAATTAGTTAGCTCAGCAGCAACTGGATTCTAATACATAGGTAAATGTACACTATTTAAAAATATAATATAGGCGAGAAAAACATTAAACATGCAGCAAGAAAAATGATGCTGCGCAAATTCGACCCAATTGTCAACAGATACGTATTGTTCACAGAGGCAAAACTTAAGAAATGATCTAGCTGTAGAAGAGAATAAATAAAAATAATACTCTGGGAGATGATAAGGGATAGAATATTTGGAATATTAATTTTCTTAAACTTAAATTCTAATCACCTATTGTAATAAGATTCATAATTTAATCAGTAATTTTTTATGCAATACATGCCAGTATTTAACTTCAATTTAAAGGACTCTTAAGTAGATGAATCAAGCTGTTGAATCCATTTTATCTATTTGCTTTGAATCTTTATTGAGAACTCTATCTGTGATCTTGATTCCTTATTATCATAAAATCATTCAACTGCCCATTATCTCTCCATTAATTCTAATCAACCTCATAGAATAGTACTATGTAGTCTAATTGCTTAAACTTAAACAAGGAATCTCCAGAATGATTAAATTCCAAATCCTGGTAAAATCCTTTGCCAACTTTCATCCTTAAATTTATATCATCTATCCCTGATTTTTATAATCCAAGGATTTCTTTTATTTCTTATATATTAATTTTCTCATTTTAGTTTAGAGCCAGATTACCGAAGCAGTGCCCTATTGAAACAGATGAGTTCTTGTCTATCACATGTATACTAACTCTAATAGATTTATTTTTCTGTTAGTCAGGAAAAAGAATACCCAGCAATCTTGAAGAAGATTAAAAGACTTAGTAATTAAGTACTTGATGATTGATTTATTGAATGAACTTTAGAATTTTTTAAGAAAGCAAAGTATGCACAGACTCAATATAGTTTTCAAAGAACCAACAAAGAGTTTCAAAGAAAGCATCTCTTATTGCAATTTCATTTTTTTCATAGAAAATATCTATTAATTAGTCAAATCTCTCAACAACTTAAGCATGATCTTAAGCTATGAGGAAATACTTATGCAGGAAGGAGAGAATAATACACTTTATTTAAGATCCAATTATGAATGGATTTTATTTCTCTTGCTTTTCGATGTTAAGTTATATCTATTGACTAATATTTATAAGCTTCTCACTGAAAAGTCTTTCTTCTTCAGGAGAATTTTCACTTGAAGAGTTTTGCATCATTCCATAAAACTTGAGAGTGAGACTCTCAATAATCAAATCAAGAAAATCATTCTTATAAAAAACTTCATAACCCTTTGCTCTGCTTAACAAAAGATGAAAATCATTTGATATCATATCAAGATAGCTTAGTATTTGAACTTTACTGAAGATATCTCCAACTATTTAATGCCTTTTATTCTTAGGGACTAAGACCATGATCTTAATAAGTATTGTTATCTCTTTATCTTTAAAAGCATACTTATCTATTATCATTTTAAGTACCATGATAAGACATTTGAATGACAATTTAGAATTGGTAATGAGCTCTTTACCTTAAAGATTACCAATCATGCTATAAATAAGCTTTATCATATTCTCTATTTTAATTTTTAGCGGAAGTTGACTAGAATTCTTTAATTCTTATATCCATTGGTTAAGGGTTTTTTTAATTTCTTTGAGTTGTATATGCACAGAAAGATATCTTAAGCAATCGTTTTCAATGATCATATTGTTTAGTAGGCTAAGACTTTCTCTTTGGATCAAGTATTTTGATACAACATCAAATAGAGTCATATTATTACGAATTCCATCAAGTTTGCTCAGATTCTAGAAAATATGTGGGATTTAGTCAATTTATTAGCCAAGATAGTGATCCTCATTGATGATTGCAATGATGTTAGGTATTTCTTTTTCAATATTGCTATAATGATTGAATATCTGTTTATTACTGATTACTTATATCACCTGAAGGTACAGATTCTCATTTGAGTCTCCAAAATTAAACTGAAGATCATTTTAATCTGATACTCTCTCTTCTCCTTCATCCTCAACTCCGAATGTGAGTTCATTGTCAGCATTCCTTTAAACTATGTCAATCACAAGCTGTATCTATTCTTAATCCAAGAATTACTTCTAAGTGAGGTCTTGGAAATTAGTAGCTTTTTTTAGTTAAATAAATAACTCATTTTCAGTGACTTAGAAAAACACATACTGTTCATTCCTTTAGCTTAGTACTGAAGATGAATTGGTATCTAGGAATTCTTTGAGTAGATTAGTAAAACTTAACCTAGAGTTTTAAAGCCTATATATTTGTAAAATTGTTTAATTTATCTTACTCAAACTATGCTGTTTTACCATTGCAAGTGACTTAGACAAATTTTTTCTGATGTGAACTGCTTTACGATGAAAAACTCTTAAGTGAGTCATTGTCCTAGCTCTTCATATCTTATTATATGTTTCTACCGATACTTCCTCTACTAGAGGTTCCAAATATATCATCCTCTTAGAGTTGCATGTTGTTGGAAGATTAGTTCAGGGCGATGGAATTATTATTGACTCTCCTCCTTACTTATTTTGAGGCCTATTAAGAATTAAGTTAGTTAAACAAAGATTCATTCATCCTATCACTATTAATTAAAGATAATTTGATTACAATTCAATTCAAGCATTTTTAGATTAAATGTATGGGGTTTTGGGGTTTTGGGGTTTTGGGG